TGGCTTCTGGTGAGCCGCGATCGTATCTACAAAACGTAAGTGTTTGGATACCCAGTTTGTTCTTTTTTGGTAGATGACGTCTCCTCGTGTTATGCAGCGAATTCTTTACTATCGCCGAACAGGATAACGTACACTACTCCGCCTACCATTTTAGGTTGATCCAGCAAATATTTTTCACTTGGCTCCCCCGTAAATGACTTGGGATTAGTAGTCTTCAGATAAGTATTCAAATAACAGCCTAACGAATGGCACACCTCAAATGCCTGTTCCACACGTTAAATCTCCTTGGCGATAAGGTCGAAATTACACTGCAAACCACTGCTTCGTAACCCGTACTATTGCCTTGTCGCACTATCTGTGCCTAAGTGCATGAATTTGAACTTTACTGAAGTCAAATATGCCCAGCTCAATCGAAATTAGAAAACCGCCACTAAATGAACAGACCATGATGGAAACTAAATAACTTCACTTTCAATTGCATTTTAATGCATTCGGCTGTAAAAGTGAGCTCCGTATCACAGTGCTAGTTTGTCTAGCTGGACTTCTAAACTGTTTGAGGAGGCTTCAGTCAGATGTTGGATACACAAGACCACTTCTTCTGCATATTTCAGCAATATCACTTTTTCAGGTACAGGTAATTAAGTGCCGTTAGCGGAAACGGGGTACGGAGCAAGTGCGGCGCTCTGAAGAACTCCGGTGTTTGTGTTGAGCACTGAGAACCTTTCGCTCCTAAGTAGAGTAAACTAGGTACGTACAGTGTAATGGTCTCTCAGCAAGTGGACAGTAGAAGATTAAATGCGGGCATCATGTAGGTCTCTCAGAAATGCTAACGGCCCACACTACTAAAAGCATTACTGCAGTCAAGAGTGCATACTCGCAAGGCTTTGATCTTGTTGTCTAGTGACGTCAACAGTGAATGTGTGGCAGTGTATACTGTTTCCACATTGATGCCTTCCTTCGGTAAACCAAATCTTGAGCAACCAGATGTAATCACGACCAAGAAACAGAGTACTTCTGTTGCTAACTGTGATGTTATCTATTCGATGTTTCAACCTGTAATCAGATAGAAGCTCATTATGGTTCTCTTGTAATGCAATTAGATCAAACACATGTTAAATATGTACAGCACACTCCTGGTTTCAAAATCAAACATCTACCTCACAACCATTCATGAAACCGCGCTTCACCGTGTTTCGTACTGTTCCAGTGAAGTGCGCAGACAAGAATATTAGATCCCTGATGATTTCGCGCATGCTTATTAAATGCACATATTTTTATGTTTACTAACAGTGATGGTATCTAAAACCGGAAGCTAAAACAACAGGAATACTTTGCTAATTTTTGCTGAACCTCTTCGCCTTTATTGTTTGGTTGTTTCTATCCCGCATTCCACCAGAAATAGTCGGTCCAAATGGAAACCATCGGTTTTCTGATAAGCAATATGTCTTCACCCAGTCTTTGGTGTCAAGTTTTATCTCTCTGCCTTGACATGCCCTAGACATAAATGGGGGATGCGAACATTCATCTCAGTCACTCATAGACACAGTGTGATAACCGCGCGCAAATAACATTTCAAACATCCAATTTATGAGTGTTGAGCCCTTTAGACAAACGTACTCATCTAAACTCTGCAAAAGCGGTTTTTCTTCAGACATGCTTAGCCCCTCTTATGCTTCCGAGTATGGATGTAATTACAACAGCTGGGACTTTTCCAAATGCTTAACCAGTGAACGTAGACACTTGTTGCATAAAAGCATAATATTGAATTCTGAGCTGTGCTCCGGCATGCAAATCAAGCCTAATGTTCATATTGGGTACTTGCATTCCGTCTAGTTTCTCCGACCGACATCATGTGGTCAAACAAAGGCCATCAAACAGCAAGTTCATCAAAAAACAAACAGGCTACAATAGGTATATTACCGACAGTAAGACTTGTTGTAAGGTGCATGAGAACGCGCTTTAAAGCAAAGCAAACTTTGTTTTATATGAGTGCGCATATGTACGAAATTCCGATGTCAATTTTGAAAATATGACGCACATTAAATCGGAATATGGGGGCCCGTGACATTTATCCATTTGCTGCCAAATTAGTAAACCTGTTCCGCTGGTCATTTGTACTGTCATTTGTGTGAAGCGTTTTACCGGTGGACGCCGTCACACAAGTTCAAAAATATCTCAACTATCAACCCAGTACAGAGAAAACGACAGTTAATTTATGATTTACTGGGAAATGCGACACAGTAAATGCAGCAAAGGGAATCTCATTGCTGTCGCTTTCACTGCACTCGACTGAGAGGCAATATTATCTTCAACTGGCGCAGGTAGTATCCAAACATAGCGAAACAAGGTAGCGCAAACGATTAAGAACATGGTCTATTGTTTGCTAGAATGCACAGATCTGTTGTTGAGCCATAGGACTTATCTGAACCAAGCAATGGATGGCTTCTACACTCAACTAAAATTACAACATTTTACCTAACCGAAGAAAAGCTTGCGTTTTTAGTGATGCCGGTGAACAGAATGGCACAAGGACATTTATGGTAATGTATCGTAAATATATATATATATATATGTTTATACCTTTAGGTCTCTATTTATGTACCGGTGTTAGTGCTTACCTCCTTCCAGTAACCGTGCTGCTGCATAGTACTCACAGTTCATTTCATGGCATAAAAGTAATCTGTTAGTGACAAAACGTATGGTCAACGACACCACACTCCCGGTCTTAGATGATTGCGCATGCTGTACTACCTAAGGGTTGTATATGGAATTAACAGTCAAACTCGATGCTGCAAGTCTGCGTGTGTCGTTTTACCAAGCCACATACTAAGATCGACGATCATCTTTTAGACATCAAATGTTGTTTCCTTCTCGCTTAGTCCTCGGGATTTTTTTTTAGGTACTGTTAGTCCAATCTTTACCCTTCCATGTTCTCTTCATTCATTCAGATCAACCTCAATCCGCTCGGTAAATAAGACAACGACACCCTACTCTTTATTGTGTGTTAGCTGAAAGTATCTTATCTCCAGTGTGGTCTTTTATTAGGTGGCTTCAGTAATCACATCCAACCGCCGACGTGACATTCTATTTCATTACTCTCGCCTGGAATATTACAACGTACGCACACAGAAATCTTCGGAATATTTAACCGGATGCATATCACACTGCGTTAGTAACTGTTGGAATTCATAGCGTGTACTTGCGTTACACAGATTACATAACGCGGGAAAAACTTTATTCTGTTCTTTTAGCAGTTGCCATTGTGACGAAGGGTAAAACAAGCTTATGAACTTGACCTGATGTTAAAAACCTTGGTTGTTTCGAAAAATGGATGGCATTCATAATCATGCGAATCAGTTGGTTATTGTAATGGGTACATCGGATTTGGAGGTAATCACTTTATTTCTCATACAGACAGTATTCTACGTGTTTTTCTCGCTTAAGACGTAAGTAGTGACATTATAGAGAACAGAAGACTGTGAATTGCGTTTGACAATCTCAAATGAGTTGGCAAACTATCATTTTGAGTTCACCCTTACACACCTCAAGGAAGTAAAAGAAAATGCACCAAAGGAAAGGAAAAAAGAAAAAAGAAAGAAAAGAAACGACAGTCATAATGTGCTTTGCCAAAGATAAGTGGTTGTCTAGCTGTAACTGCACCTGGTGAATTCCACCGTAAATTTCCCCTTAGTTGCCGCAATCTATGAGCACAGCAACACAAACAACAGTCTGGACATACTTGAAGCAGGTATAAGGAACTATTTTACAAACTTTTGCCTCTCGCTTGCTACTTCATCTGCGTGACTTCTTTGGAGCTTCGTGTCCTGCATTTGCCTGATTTGCAAGTTATTGTCATCAAAAATGAACGGGTTTAATATGTTCATCCAAAATGAAAGCCAGACAAACTTATGAACTATATGGCTAGCGTTGCTTCGCATAATAACTTAATAATGGATTTGAGGGGTGTGTATTACTGACCAGTCCAGATAAGTTGAAACAGCCGTCTGGTGCTCTTCCGAAAGATTGAAGAACTACAAAAATTTTTGTGCGCCTTCAAAATCTACCAAGTAATTAAAAGTGTTGAGCTCCATTCTGAGTGGGATACATAAGATTACCACACATTATAGAACGTGAGGCATTAAGCCAAAAATACTCGTCTTTAACCAACACGTACACACTTACAAGTACTAATTCTTGATAGCGTGGATCGCCCACAACATGACCCACTTCTATGTGATATTTTATGCCCTCGGTGGTAAGGGTGATGCGTAAATGTTAGAGCCAGTAATGGACCGAGTGAACTTACATTACCTGCTGGCACATGGGACTTCACGTGTCATGAATTCATGTTCGTCGTCTTCAGCCTATTGAAGGAGATTTGAACTTTGTACATGACATTGTGTACATTGGGCAGAATAAATCGTGGAACCATATAGGAGCCAGCGGAGAAGGACGAAAACTGGATAACGGAGTATGACGCATCGATCCGCCACTAAACTGTGCGATACCGGAGTGTAAGCCCGCTCAAAGGTACCCAAGGCGTACATCAGCCTAGACGACGCTCCCGAGAATCCGCTGGCATTAATGCATTCCTAGTCGAACCTGATTGCCGCCACAGTTGTGGATCATCACAAGTGAATGACAAACATACACTGATGGGACGAAACTGGACGTAGACCTAACAGCTAGATCCGTGGCAAACAAACTACCGTTCCGTAACCTCACTTTCACACAATAACTTAAAATATCCGTAAAATGAAGATAGCTTTAATATGTTACACTCAAGGGTGATACCATTGTCTATTGGAAATATTGTCATAATCATAATTCAGGAGTTTAGCTTTCCCCCACTCTTATCGATAACTGTCAAATTCCATTTCTGCCCCCTCTGGATTGAGACAATATATTTCCCGATGAATATTCTATTCTCTTGATAACCGTAAAAAATTCAACCTGTTTCAATATGTTCACTGCTAAAAGTAACTGTTTTCGCCACTTACTTGGCACCTCTGGGAAAGTCTCAGTGCAGATACTCCAGTAATGTGTTCCTCATGTTTTCCGTTCCAAGTGGTCTGGAAGTCATTCGGCCAACAGGAGTGTATGTGCGTGTGGGTGTGTGACGATGGTTACCATTACTAATATTGATCAGCAGTGCATATGACTCGCCCACATAGCAAAAGCACGCGAACGCTCGCGCGGTGCCCACTTGCGCACATACGCAGGACTTATACACATGCGAAAATATCATTTGCCCCATCCAGTTGGCGGTCCGTATGCGCAACAACCAATCAGTCAATGTGAAGTCATTCAATTGGTTAACCTACCCCAACCCTATCGTGTGTGTTTACGAAGTGGACCGGCGTTTATGATCATCGCTGATCGCATGCGATCATATGGGTGAAGGCGTCCTAAGCCCATGTCACCTTAACCACCCAGCTCTGGGATGCTCGGTTTCCCGCAGGATATGATAAATGGCCGCTTAACATGAGACATTAAGCATTGTTGTCCAGCGGGTTGTCAACACGCCTTGACACACTCCTTACGTACCCGAGGGCAGTTGTTTTTCCTCCATAACCAGTGCTCGATATCTAGGGAGAGTCGCAGAAATTCACTCACAGAAATGGCCACAAGTACTTAGTTACAAAACAAAAGATAATAGTAGGCAGCGCGTGCACTGCATGTGAGCCACTAACTAGTCTCCTGGGTTAACTACGGCATTGATAAGTTTGTATGCAAAACTTTGTTACTAATGTCAACGGTTTTATGGTGATTCCAGAGATGGTTTGAATCTATGGTGAAGGTGAACTGGTTGACTGAAGTCCGCGAGTTTTCCGACAGTAATTGAAAATCAGATGTTGACAAGGGCAACTGGTAGTACTGAAACTACCAGTTTAAAGAAAGTAGCAAAACTAACATTCTTCGCACCCTCGTTTTGATCTCCATTGAGTCAAGAAATAGATTTTGTTATATTAGCTTATGGTGGATAACTGAGAGTGAGGAAGGAGGTGCAATAGATTTAAATCACGTGGTGGACAGACGAGACTCAGCATCGAGTATAGCAAGCAGAACAGATAGTCTGGAGCCCAGCGAAATCCAAATCATATCGTGGTTAATACAATGACTTTGGTGCAATAGTTCCCTACTTTACTGGAATATGACCGCCTCTTGTATCCAGTTTGTGGAAAATAAGAAGTTGGTTCCAATAATCTACCTTATATTCTGCAAGATGAAATCAGTCATTGCAAATATTTTGTGTAGTTCTGCGAGTGAACTACACGTGGAATGTATTGCGTGAGATACAGCGCCTGTAACAGAACACATTGACATTCACCCTAGGGAAAACGAGTTCAAGGTTAGAGCTTTCGTCGCATTCAGTCATTAAACTTGGTGATTAATATAACGAAATATTGGGTCAATAACCGTTGGGACAAACATTTCGTGGTTCGGTGGTGTAGTTCCAAATGTCAGAAGTTAATTTATACTCCCCTGGACTGAGTTGCATTTCTACGCTCTCAGCCCGATAAATGCGACCACGTACGCTACCCGTACTATGATGAAAAGACGAAGCAACATCTTACCAGCATTAATAGTACAAAATGAAATTTGTCCTATCTGGTCACAGACAGAGAGCAGTCACTCTCATCGAATAGCAGCGTTTCATCTTTTCCGAAATCTGCAGCAGCACCCATCCACCTGATTCATGTGGAGTTAGAGCCCACGGCGTTGCCGTTACGCTTCCGTGGTTTGAACCAACAAGTAACGTGGACGGTAATATCTCACGTGGCTAATGGAATAACAATGATTTTATATGGGTAAAAAATAAAGCGTAATAATTCCCGTGTGATGATTATGGTGAGCATAACAATATAAAATAATCATGTCAGCAAAAGTAGTCGTACACTGGTGGACTCATCAAAGTATACATCTTGTAAACTGTAAATCCAATTTAAATCCATAAGGAATGACAACAAATGGGATGTTGGTGAACTCTTGCCGTACCCTGGTAAACACGTATTGGAGTAAAAGTTCGGATATATCCTAGGAATTGACTGCCAATGAACTCATTGACTGGCATTCGTGCTTAGCTATGAGCAGTGAGTCATGTGACATGATAGAGAGAAGTGAGTGCAAAGAAAACGCGAGCAAAGCGATTTGCCAGGATGGGAGAAAATAATGGTGGATTCCGGAAGCGCGTTCCATGGCTGGAAACGAGTAGGGAAAAGTAGTTAATACGGCATTCATAATGACTGTATTGCTCTGTGAGCTTGAGATGGTGGACTCTCAAGTAAATGTTAGGGCTGATCTACGGCAAACTACGGCGCATATGAAAAGTGAACAAAACAAAATGAATTTATACAGCTTAGGAAGCGTTGATTTACAACTCCCATTGAATAGTTGGTTGGGGATATCAAAATAATAATAATGATAGAAATACTAAAAAAACAATTCGAAATTTAAATATGAAAATCAGGACTCATCCTTTGCTCCGCTGTTGTCCTGTGCTCCGCTTAGATTAGCAGGATCACCAATGAAAGTCAAATAATTCATGGTAAAATCCAGGTGTAGACTTTACAAAGTGTAACTGAATGAGTGCATCAAGCAACCACCATTCAACTACAAGTAGTGTCCGTGCAGTGACGACCGATTATGGGAGAGCATTCCACAGGTGAAAGACACGATTAAAAACGACATTTCTGCGGCACTACAAGCAGCTAAACTATACAGCGAGTTTCCATGAGTGGCCCCTCAGCGTAGTATTGGTGCTGAGTCGCAGTACAGGGCGACACACATGATGTGGGTATCGCGGAAGCAAGTATGCCATAATCAGATCACCTCATATCCCTCGATGGATTCCGCTGAATACCCCAATGAATGCATGCTCACCTGGTATGAAAGATTTGCGCATTCTAATTAGGTTATTAGATGCCCGATGTTGTAGCTGCTCCAGTACATTAAGGTCGTGTTTTAGCCATAGATGCTAGGCTGGTATCGCGTATTCGACAAGGTAACGAACAGATGCACTGAGCATTTGTCAAATTTGGAGATGTTTATTTGTCAAAACGCCGGTCGCAACAGCTCGACGTGTTAGTTTTCAGTCTGTGGGGCCTTTTCCAATTGTTTGGAGCAACCCAAGTCATTTTGAACCAGGACAAGTAAGTCACGTTCCACAGTGGTTTGTTGCAGTATCTACGTTCCGAGCCGGTATGAGTAGTTGTTCTGACGTCCGTTTACACACGTTGAAATGCAGTAAAAGTTGGGTTGTGCACTCTCACCGAGGCTCCTCTACGCTATTCTAAGCTATTGCACGCCACTCAACTACGCACTGACGACGTCACCTCGATTAGTGAAGAAACGTTTGTAAACAAATTGCCAAGCTAAGTGAACAGTTCAACTGCCAAATTTGGGTTGATCATTGATATACCGTATATAGATCACTCTGAAGCAGTTGCTGGTCGGCCTTCGCCTGGATCGTGCGCCAGATCATGATACCGTCGGCACACATCAGGATGTTTGAAGCGATTGCCTGTGCGAGGTCATTAACAAACACAAAAAACAAACGTGGACTTAGAACTGAGCTATGCGGCACACCAAACTCGACTTATATGGGGTCTGATAAACAGCTCCGAACTCTGACAAATACTTGCCGTTGAAGTAGAACGTTGGTAATCCAGCTTAAAAGGGGGTCGAGGATCCCGTAATGCTTTAGCTTGTAGAGTAGTATCCGATGGTCTAGACGATCAGAAGCTTTCGAAATATTCAGGTAGATCACATCAACATCTTCTCCAGCGTCAGATGAACCAGTCCAACTACTGCTTGTGATTAGTAAATTCGTCGTGCATGACCGCCCTCCACGGAAGACGCGTTGCTCAAGCATGATGATGTTACAGTTTCCAGATAACACACCAGTGCCTTGGCAACTGTGGATTCCATAAAATGGAGAGCATATGGCGAAGGGTTACTGAGCGGCAGTTAGAGGGCTCAGTTCTGCTTCCAACTTTGTGAATCAGGGTTATTATTCCAAGCTTCCACATGGCAGGTACTTGATTCTGGTCTAGACAGCACTGGAAAAACTGAGCTAAATGTCCTGCTTGTTGGATTGTTGCTGATTCTGGTGCATCTGAACGAATGGTGTCGACACCTGGTGATTTGTGTTTGCGTAGAAACGTCAGGTTTTGCGGTAAACGTGATGTGGGTTATTGATGGCGAGGAGACAACAAGTTTTGGAAACTTGTTTGGTGGAAAGACATTCAGAAACGTGAGTGCCTATTGCATCCGCAGCGCGTCCGCTGCTTCCACAGTCGTTCAAATAGGGCCATAGTTCATGCAGGGTGGTGGTAGTCCTTGCCTCACATTTCGTAGGCTAGTGACGTGCTTTTACATCAGCTTCTCGTCTACACTGAAGGTTTTCGATTTGTTCTGCTGATATGCAGTTTTCTCATCCCTTAGCAGTAACGTGCACTGGTTACGAATTCGTCCTAATTTTCTTGTGCTGGAGCTTCGTTATGCAATCGCCATGCTGCGTAGTTTACTGTCATCTATTTTTGAGTTCTGCTCCTAACGAAAGAAACTGATGTGCACTTATTGCAAACTTTTATTTCTGAAGCCTCTGCAATCAGGTGACTTAAATTGTTGTCGAACTTGAACCAGGATACTTCCGAAAGTTCTTCAGTAATTAATGACGAGCAGGGCTCCTGGATCATAGCTTAGGATGGCTCGCACAGTCTCATCATTCTCATTCCGATATTCCGCAAAGCAGATGAAGTTGCAACTGTTGGCTGCGTGATTATTGCAACCGAACGGGCAGTCCAAAACCAACGCATTAATCCTATGTTCCTCCTCCTTAAGCACATAATGCAGCACCCATGACCTGTGATCTCTTATGAACCGAGTGGGCAAATTGATGTCATGGTAAACAGGAACAGTGGTTACGAGTTCTTGTAGATCGGCTTTAAACTGTTCTCCGATCGTGCCGGGAGTTTGCAAGCAAGGTACGATGAAATCACCCATGATAAGTTTATGAGTGAACTTTAGTTGTTAAAAGCATTTTAAAGCAGCAGCCAAGTGGCAGTAGGTTTCGTAGTGCAGAGTAAGGTGGCGGTACACCAAGACAAAACAGCAAGCATCTTTGCATGTTAGCTGCAAGCGGCATCAAAGAGAGACAGGGAAAAGCGAGACGAAATCCTAAAGTGCTTCGCAATCTAAGTCGTATCGGAATTACACGATCAAACCTACTCATCTCCAGAGCAAACCGTTAAGGATCATCGATATGACCGAGAGAGAAAATTAAGCGTTCGTCACTAACGAGTGAAACAACGTCCCAGGGACACCAATTAATTAATACGAACCTAAAACGTAGCGATCATTTAGTTCGGCAAATTTAGTAAAAGCACCCTAAGATGCGTAGGCTACAGTATCCGCGTTTAAGTGTGCTTGCGGAGAGCAAAACCTTATCTACGTCGATGGACGCTTCTAGTTTTACTCGAATAAGTCTTGGTTCTCCCTCTTGTGGCGAGTTTGTACGACGAGTAATTCGTGATAACTGTATGCGAGTGGATTCGACACTCGTCAGCACGCACACTGAGTTACATTGGTCTTGGTCGTCCGATAACATACGTGGCAATGTGATGACGGTAAACACAGGGACATTTGAGCATACAACAGTCCGGGCACTATTGTTGGGTACCATTTTCGTTGATCTACAAGGTACAGTAATCATTTGTTTTAATCTGTTGACAAGTGTTGAATGTATACTGTTTATCTCTCTATTCGCGTTAACGGTGTTTACAACAGAAGAGGCCGAAACGGGGACCACACGGCGGACCCTTACCGCAATCACTGCATTTGTAACTGATGTTCCGGAGAGCTTTATCTTGACAAGAGACATTTAAGCTACAGATACCGATGGTTAGTGTTCGGCTGCTTTATCCTTTTTAATGCTAGATGTCATGTTCAGTGGAATTTGCTTAACCAGACGTTTCGGGTAATGATTCATTTTTGTTTCCATGAGTACTGTTTGACTCTAGAAGTTACGGTCAGTTTTCCCCTGAAGTTCTACCAAATTTGTAGAAGACGACGGAGATGGGGACATGGCTGATTGCGGTTCAGGGGACGCGCATTGTGCAACCTTCCGCTGCTTACAGGCCGCTAAGCTTCCGTAGTGCATATTCGCTTCCATTAATGCAAACTTATTGTTGATCCCCCGCAAAGCTTATGCGGTTAACCTATCGCACTTCCGAGCTAGGATAAGCAAGTACTTAACGAGTGGGATGGTGGAGCACGCAGTACCGAACCAAAGCGCAATTTAGGAGCTATTTCGCTCTTGTACCTGTAGTTGGGACACATTTACACATTTCGGATGATACCATTCCAAACAGTGCG